AGTTAACCCCCATTCTGCTCAAGTTATTTCTAAAGATCCAAAAGGGTGACTCCCTCCCTAATTCACTCTATAAAGCCTCTATCACCCTTATCCTTAAAACACATAAGGACAGGACAAGGAAGGAAAACTGTAGACCAATATCTCTGACGAATATAGATACAAAGATTCTCAACAAGATACTAGCAAATCATATACAATAACTTATAAAAAAGATTACAGAACATGATCAGGTAGGATTTATTCCAGGAATGCAAGGTTGGTTCAACATATGCAAAACCATACGTGTAATACACTGTATTCATAGGAAAAAAGATAAAAACCATATGATCATATCGACTGATGCAGAGAAATCATTTGATAAGATACCACATCCCTTCATGATCAAGACTCTCAGCAATATCAGCACAGAAGTGTCATTTCTTAACACAATAAAAGCTATCTATGAAAAACCCATAGTGAACATCACCCTGAATGGAGAAAAGCTGAAAGCTTTTCCACTAAAAACAGGTACAAGACAAGGATGCTCACTTTCTCCACTCCTTTTCAATATAGTACTCAAAGTCCTCATCAATGCAATCAGAAAAGAGAAAGAAAAAAAAAAGGCATTCAAATAGGAAAAGAAGAGGTGAAACTCTATTTGCACATGACATGATTGCATACATAGAAGACCCAATGGTATCCATGAAAAAATTCCTGGAAATAATACATAAATACAGTAAAGTTGCAAGATACAAAATCAACACACAGAAATCTATAGCATTTCTATATACGAACAACAGGCAGACTGAGATAGAACTGAAAAAAGTAATTCCATTTACCATAGCCCCAAAAAGTATAAGATACCTAGGAATAAATCTAACCAAAGAGATTAAAGACCTCCACAAGGAAAACTACAAGACGCTAAAAAAAGAAATTGAAAATGACACAAAAAAGTGGAAGGACATCCCATGTTCCTGGATTGGAAGAATTAATATAATCAAAATGGCAATTTTTCCCAAATTAATTTACATATTTAATGCCATCTCAATCAAAGTACCAGTCACATTCTTCACAGATTTAGAAAAGACAATCATAAAATTTGTCTGGAATCATAAAAGACCTCATATTGCCAAAGCAATGAGAAGAGGTATCTCACTCCCTGATCCAAAAATATACTACAAAACTGGGGTAAACAAACAAACAAAAAAAGGTACTGGCACAAAAACAGATAGGTGAACCAATGGAACAGAACTGAGTCCCTAGAAATAATCTCCCAAACATAAAGCCAACTGATTTTTGACAAAGGGTACCAGTCCATTCAGTGGGAAAAAGAAAACCTCTTCAGCAAATGGTGCTGGGAAAACTGGATATCCACCTGCAGAAAGATGAATCTGAATCCCTACCTGTCATCACTGACAAAAAATAACTCATGGTGGATCAAAGATCTAAATCTATGACCTCAAACTATAAAACTGCTCTTGGAGAACACTGGGGAAACTCTGGGAGACATGGGGTAGAGAAAGACTTCTTAAGGAAGACCCCCAAAGTACAGTCAATAATCTCCAAATAGACAAGTAGGATTACATCAGACTAAGAAGTTTTTGCATGGCAAAAGACACAGTAATTAGTACGAATTGACAGTCCTCGGACTGGGAAAATATTTTTGTAAACTATGCATCAGATAAGGGAATGATAACCAGAATACACAGGGACCTCAAGCAGCTGTTCAAAAAAAAAAAAAAAGATCAACCCTATTAAAAGATGGGAGAATGAGTTGAAAAAAACACTCTCTAAGGATGACATACAAATAGCCAAAAGGCATATGAAAAAATGCTCAACATCCCTCATTGCAAGAGAAATGCAGATCAAAACAGCGAGATATCACCTAACCCCAGTCAGAATGACTAAGATTAAAAAAACAAAACTATACGTGCTGGCAGGGGTGTGGTGAAAGGGGAACTCTCTTACACTGCTGGTGGGAATGTAAATTTGTCTAGCCACTGTGGAGAACAATTTGGAGATTCCTCAAAAATCTACAAATAGAACTTCCACATAACCCACAATTCCACTGCTTAATATCTACCCAAAGGACAGAAGAATTCTTAATTGGAAAAATACTTGCATATCAATATTTCTTGCGGCATTATTCACAATTGCTAAGACACGGAACCAACCCAAATGCCCACAAACAGATGAATGGATTGAAAAACTGTGGCACATATACTCTATGGAACATACTCAGCCTTAAAAAAAAAAAAAAAAAAAAAGACAACCCTGGCTTATGACAGAAAGTGGATGGATATGGAAGATTTACTGCTGAGTGAAGCAAGCCAGACTATGAAGGAGAGACACTGTATGTCCCCACTTAGTATATACTTAGTTTCCGTACTCTATTGACTAAAGGATATAGAAACCCAATAAATGGTTGTGAATACCAGATACAGTGTAGGAAGAGCATGGGTGAACAAATAGAGTCTAAGGAAGGACACTAAGGAGAAAAATCGAGAGGCAAGGTATTAACGGAACAAAGAAATGGGGTATTATCTGTTGAAGATAACCTTATAGTATTATCAACTGGACTGGGGAGAAATGTAAACATATTGTAATATTCACTTTGCAAACTAAATGACATGATTGAATGTATAAAAGAACTTGAAATAAAATAAGTTAGTAAAAATCTAAAAAATAATAAAAAAAAAATTTTAATGGGATTTACTATGATGCTGAGTATACTTGTCTGGAGAATGGCCATATAACAGCATTCATGATATTCAGAGGTTAAAACCAGTACCAACTGGAATGTCATCATGATAATCAGAAAATATGATTTCTACATGCCCTGTTTTCATTCACAGACTTAAATGTATCTGTGAATATGTCAACATTACCCTGAAGAAAGACTTTGCCCTCTTAATCATTTTGCATCCTCACTACTAACCCTTCACAAAGTACTCTGAAAAATATAGTAAGCAGTATTTTTAACTAGAAGACATTAAAAATAACAAAATCTCTATAGTACAAACATGTTAAAATATTTATATATTTTAAAACATTAAAAACTGGTAAACCCACAATTAATTCACTTCTTACCATACACAATATATTTTAGTTGAAGATTTTTAACAATTTCTTCCACAGTGGGTTTATACTCGAGGAAACACGTATAAACTCCACTCATGGTCTCCTCAAAGTTCTGGAATATAAGGCTTCCTGTGGATGTTACTTGTGCAGTGTTGTTTTCTAATAAAGAAATCAGATACAGTTATTAGTTGCTTACATTGAGACAGATAAGATACTCAAACATTTCAAAGCAGAGTAAAACCATCTAAATTTAACTACACAGCCACTGAAAGAGGCTTAGCTAGTCATTACTTCTGTAGCCAGCTGGCAGGGGTGCCAGGCTGAGCTTAGTGCCAGCCTCTCCCTCACCAGAATTCATCATTGTATGGTTGCCTGAGTGGTAAGAGATAGACAACACGTACATAATGTGCTCCTAATCTTCCCTTTGCATTGAACTGGACACTACTAAGAATACCATGCATATATATACTACCATATATTATATTAAATATATGTATTACAACGTACATGTATATTGTTTATATGCATATACATGTGTATAATACATGTTATATATATATATACACATCTATACAAAATATATACCTACACTTTAAATGGTGTCTATATACGTATATACATGGTATAAATACATATATACACACACACTATAGAATAATTATACAATTTTTAAAGATGCATCATGGGCTCAGTAGGCTCACAAACTGTCAGTGAAACAAACAGTATAACCAGAACAAAGGTTATCAGAATATAATCACTAAAAATTTTATTTCTTATAACTACACATGATATAAGCAAAAGTGAGTTATAACTTTCAGGGTTGCTGAAGGGAAAAAAAAAAAAACAGAAGAGTAGATCACATAACTAAGCCAAGGTCATACAATTACAGACAGCCATGTAGAGAGTTAGAAAGGATGTAAGCTCTGTTTTCCACTTCAGTTTGCTTCATTACCTAAGTGTGACACTGGGAGCAAAGTATGTAGTGAAATAGAAAGTAAATCTGTTGTAGAGGCATTAAGACCTGGGTTTAAGAACTACCTTTCTTGGGACCAGCAGTTAGTGTAATGGCTACGTCGCTGGACTCCCATGTAGTCGACTGTGGTTTAAATCCCAGACCCGGTGACTTAAACTCACACCAGGTGCGTGTGCATGCATGCCCAAGATCCTGAGAGGAAAATGGAAGAGAAGAGATTGTGGCGTGGCCATCTGCATGGGGGGTGATTTCTTGCTTTCTGTCTCTCTCTGTCTTTCTGGCTAGCCCATGAGCCCTATAGAAAAAAACCTCTCCAAAAAAAAAAAAAAAAAAAGAACTACCTTTCCCGTTCACAAACTGTCTAACCTTTGGGGACCACTTGGATTTTCAGAAGTCCAGTTCCTAGCCTGTCTCACAGGATTGTTCTACATAACAAGAACAATGAATGTTAGAGTGTCTCAAAAGCTATAAACCACGAAGTACTTAAGTTTTTATTCTGAAAATTCCTAACTGCAGTTTTGTATTAGAAAAATTCTTAGGCATTAAAATTTGCTTAGTCAATAATTTTTCTATTCATTCGAATTAAAAATATTATCTCAGGAAATAGTTGTCTGCCTTTTCTATTTGAAGTAAATGAATTATTGCTTATAAATTTTAAGTTGAAATATTTCTCTAAAATAAGACAAAAGATGAATGTTCTTAGTGATAAAATTTTCACAAATAATTAGTTCAATAATATTTGAGTTTCTACTATATGTAAAGCTCTACTTCAGACACTGCAGGAGAATAAATTAATTTACATAAACAATTATTCCTTGCAAACTCTCATTTCTATATCCTGGATAAAAGTGAAAAATGTGATATAAATTTAGAATATATTTCTATCATAAAGTCTATTTCTTCATGAACTTCAGAATTCCCTGAGTAGTTTTTATAAATGTAAAAACTATTGTATCACTACAACTGCATCCTTACCTGGACATCATTACATTTGTAAATATCTATTTTTCCATTAAGAAAATGAGTAAACTAAAATATTGATCCTACTTAAATGATAATTCAATTCTTTACTGTCCTTTGCAATGTAAATAATACCTGGCATGGCATATTAGAAAAAATTTCATATTTCAATTCTAAATCAAAGGAACAACAAGCAACAATAGAAAAATTAAATACTTAAATATTTTTATTTTCAATTTATAGAATTTTAATATTAAATGTAAAATACATTTAAAATACATGTTTGTGTTGCATTGTATGCTGTTATTAGAGAACAATAAAAATAAAATCTGGTTATATTTCCAGTACTGGCACAGGGCACATCGCTCTGACTACGTTACTATAGTGAGGCAGGGTCTACATCTGATCTTGCTGTCTCCCACAAAATCTAGCATGAGGCATCAGCCAGTCATCCACTAATGAATGATGAATGGGACTTTAAAGAATCACAGCCTGATCTAAAGAGTAGATGAGCTCCTTACAGATTAAGCAATTGTAGAATCAACATAAATAGTCTACAAATGTGCAACTGAGATACCTCATCTACACAAAATACGAATTAAAACATATTACAAAATAATTATCTCCTGTGAATACTTCCCTATAAAATCTTGGTATTAACCTACTTTTCTTTCATCCAAGATAATAAATAAAGCTGTACGTTTTTATTCACAAGCACAAAATATCAATTATTTGCAAGAGCTCAAAATATCAATAAGGGTTTAAAAAGAAAGGAAGACATGGCAAGTACAGTAATAATGAAAAACTTGCTCTGGGGGTATACAAAAAATATTATGTGCTTCAATCTTTACTGTAAAAATACAGCTTTTATCAAATTAAAAATTTTAAATGAAAGAAATGCATTTCAAAATAATAAAACATTGAATTCAGAAAATGCCAATCAAATTAGTCAATTAGCTACACAAACAATAATTTCTATGTTAAAGAAAGTAATTTTTTGGAATACAGATGCCTTGAGAATTGTACAAACGGTTCATGTTTTAATATGTCTCCATATAAAATTAAGAGCTAGGAGAAATGTTAACACCATCTACATTGCTAGATCTAACTCCAAAAGGAATCCATAAAAAAGAGATGTAAAAATGTATGTGAGAGAAAAATATTCTTTTTGTACTGTGTACATTTCAGACATACTTATTTAATTATGATAACTGAAATAAAAGCCAACCTGAAATAATTTTTCCTCTTGGTCCATGCCATTGGAATGATGGGTCTATGAGTTCAGCGTTTCGCAGTCGTCTCGTCACACATAATATATGTGGGCTCTTCTGATGGAGCATGACATATACTTTCACTGAAAATACAATATTAAAATGTCCCAATAATATGTTATTACTTTTTTCTGTAATGTCTTATGTTTTATAGTTTGCATTATGAGCTATTCATTTATTTATTTATTATTTGGCAGAGCGCATACGCATTGATCACAGAAAGAGAGAGGATAAAAGAGAAAGCACTGCCCAATAGGGCATGGTTAGATCACAATTCCTTTCCCTCCATTTCTTCATCTTCTCAGGATACAGGTTATTTATGCATAGGTGCCCATTGTGCTTTTCAAGTGGCCAGGCCCTATGGGATCCAGTTCCCTTAGCCCCTAGGCCACAGGGTCAGCCCATGTGACAAGCATTATTTATTTGGATTATTGCTCTTATTACATTATGATTTGAACTAAATTTTGAGACATTTTATGTAACTTTCAGAAATATACAACCCCATGGCCAAAATCCAAAAGGAGAGAGGAACTGAAAAAGGACTATGGTGTGACCACGTCCCAGGGGAGAGGGAGATGTATTCTCACGTTCCTCCTTGATCTGTTTCTCCCTGATGAGGGCAGGCACTCTCTGGCAAGCTAAAAATACACACACACACACACACACACACACACACACACAAAATGCATCTTTTATGTGTATAGGAGTGTGTTGAGTATTCATGTGTGTGCGTGTATAACTGTGCACATGTGTATCCTCAATTTGAACACAATGTGTTAATTATTTTTATTCACCACTCACATACATTAACCTATTAGTCTCAGAATATTACTTCTATTATAAAGTATTAAGATGGTTTTATATCTAAATATCTGTTTTACAAAGACACCAAACCTGAACAGAGCTTGTAAGTAAACTGTTCAGAGGAATAAGGTATTAATTACAATGATATAGCACAACATACTGAATAAAAATGACAATGTGTGGGACAAGCAGGTATGATGTCCTAGTTACGGTGCTGGACTCCTACATGGCCCACCATGATTCGAGTTCCAGACCCAGCAGCCTGAAATACACTCCAGGTGTGTGCACATGCAGGCCCCAAATCCTGAGAGAATGGAGAAAAAATTGCAGCGTGGCCATCCCTCCAGGGTATGATCCCTCATTTACTTTTTCTCTATCTCTGTCTTCCCAGCAAGTGCAAGTGCCCTAAAACAAATATCTCTAAAAAAAAAAAAAAAAAGTGATTAAAAGTTGACAAATACAAGCTTTGATTTTTAAATATTAAGCATTTTATCTCATTTAGCTTTAAAATGAAATAACCCTGATAAATGAGTAAACATAGTAAATGTTCCACTTTTTTGAGTTTACTCATAAGTAAACTTACAGAAAAGATTCCAGCAACACTTCAGAAACTGCATGCCAACCCTTTATGATTCACCAATGACAAAGGTTTTTATGATTCAGTAAAATAAAAATTGCTTTGGAGAATTAAACTTTAAAGAGACAGCCTCTAAAATTCGCCATAAAGTAGCATGTCCATTGAGTGTACTTTCAGAATACTTCTTTCCACAGGTTAAAAACGCTCATTTCTTGGGTTGAGTACCAACCTATCTGGCTAGAGCACTGAACTGTTTGGCCCAACCTAAAAAGATGGTGGAACTTGCCTGTGATCCTAGCTAGCAGAGGGGCTGGAGCAGAAAATGATCACAATATAGCATATCCTGTCAAAAAACTTTCTTTCCCTCTCTTACTCAATGCTCCCAATGCTCCCTCCCTCTCTCATTAAAAAAATAAAAATAATTATCCTCTATTTTTGATAACTTTATAATAAATTGGTATTGAATTTTACTATTTTTTCTATGCTGATTGAGGTGATTGTTATTTTTCTTAAATCTTTATATTATTTATTTAATTTGTCTTCCATGTGAAAGTGGGAGGGGAAAGAGAAAGAGAGGCACCCCAATAAGATCTTCATGCCACGATCCACGCCCTACCCTCACCCAGCCAGAATCACAGGATACGTGCCCCCAGAGTGTGCAGAGGCATGAGAAGCACTGCGAAGTACTGCATTACCATGGTGCCACTAAAGTTGGCCTCTTCTTAAATATTTTAATGAAATGACTGACATTAATACACTGCCTTCCTGGAATAAATCAAGTTAATCATGCTTTTATGCTTAACGGTTGTTCAAGCTGCAAGTGTTTTCTCACAATCCTTACAACTATGCTAATAAATGCAACTGTATGTAATTTTCTTATACTTTGTCCTTTGTACATTTCAGTATCAAGCATTTATCATTAAGTATTTATTTAGTACTCATTAATATTTATGATTACTACAGTATATAACTAAGGTTATAATAATCATATGAATGAATTAAGCAATTTTTTTCTATAAATTTTATCTGAAAGAATTTGTGAAACTTTTTTCCTTTATAGCCTGGTACTTTTCTTGTTTTCTAGCCTTTTTTTGGCAGGGGAGAGAATAGGAAAACAAATTATGACTTCTAATGAAATGAATTTAATTGGTTAGTAATCTACTATGTAAATTAATCAAGTCCATTTTAGAAATTTATATTTCACTACAACTATTATTTATTTATTTGAGAATTTTTTACTGTAGGGTGTGTGTGCTTGCTGGAGAGACAGAAAACTAGAAATCACCACAGGGGGAATAGCCATGTTGCAATCCCTTCTCCTTCATTCTCCTCCCAGGATCTTGGGCACACACACACACACACACACACGTCCTCCGGCGTGAGTTTTAAGCTGCCAGGTCTTGGACTTGAACCGCAGTCAACTACGTGGGAGTCCAGCAACATAACTATTCTATCTGTTGATCCCGGAACTAACCCAATTAACACCTTGATTGTTAACTTCTAACCTCCAGAATTTTAAGGCAATGCAGGTATGTTGACTAAACCACACTGATCTGGTATTCATTACGGCTTCCCTAGGAAAATAATACATGGAATAAGAGCAGGAACTTGTAGCATTTAAACTTGACCTATCCAATCCTCCTTCCTGGATGTACAGTAGCCCTGAAAACCAACAGTCTGTCATCCCAGTGAAAACCAGAAGCCTGACAGTCACTATGGAGGTGGGTAGGACCAGAATGCTTTGAAAGCCTTCTTCCCAGAGACCTCTCTTTATTTGATCATCTGGTAGTTTGGGAGAAGATTTCATTCACAAGACTCTTTACTTGGCCTGGCCTGGAGTTTCTCCAGGGTTATTTATCAAAATCAATTAAAGGCCATCATTTAACCATATGACTCCCTGATAAAGTGGACAACTGTTACGGGAACAATAAGCTATCAAAAAGCTTATGAGGAAAAGATTGCATATCTACAGGAACTTAGAACAGTTCTGGGCAAACATAAGGCCAAATGCATACTAAGGGCTTGCCCAGGACTGTGTTGCATGCTCAGTAAGGAGCAAGAAGTATTAAGTTCTCATATCTGCCTAAAATTGAGGTTCTGTACAGCATACAGTGAATGATAAGCAGTTTTCTCTAAGTCTTGGACTTGGCAGCTCACTTTCTCACTTTCCATCTCTCTCTCTCTCTCTCTCTCTCTCTGATCAAGTTAAAAATAATAACAACAGAGGCCAGCACGTGGCGTAGTGGTTGTGGTGCTGGACTCCCAGATTGCTGACCATAGTTCATGTCCTGGACATGATGGCTTGAAACTCATGTGGGGCACATGTGTGTGCTTGCCCAAAATTCCAAGAAGAGAATCTCTGTCTCTCCCTGTGTCTCTGACAAGTGCATGCACCCTACTGCAAAATCTCTGAAAATAATAACAAATGGAATTGAATTAATAAATAAATCTTTTTTATTTATTTTTAACTTTTCAAAAAGTTTTTTAAAGAATATTTCCTTAATTTTATTTATCATCATCATTATTATTTTTTAATTTGATATAGACATTAGCCAGAAACAGAGAGAGAGAGAGAGAGAGAGAGAGAAAGTGAGAAAGAAAGCCACCAAATCCAGGACTCAACCCACAAATAAGTAATTCTTAAAAAAAAAAAAAGAAGAGAAAAGAAAAGAAAGGAAAAAAAAGGAAAGAAGAAAAGAAAAGAAAAAATAAAAAAGAAAAGGAAAGGAAAGAAAAGAAAAAGAAAAGTAAAGGCATGCTACAACATGCATATCCTTTAAGGAGGATACTAACTGGATCCAGATGTTTAATGACATCTCAGTCCAATTATTAGCTAGACTAAGCTGAGTAGCGACTTCAGTGGCTACACCTGATAAAGAATACATAATATCAAGTGGGCCCCATAACTTTCAGTTGAGCAGTGCAGAAGGACTCCACAATGCCAACTGAAGTTCAAATTCCTGCCCTAATGACTTAAAAAAGCATGATGAGCATAAGAACACTTGCCCAAGTTTCTGACAGGATGAAGAAATGAAGGAAAAAAGGTTTGTGGCATGTCCATGTCCCATGAATGGAGGAGTCTCTCTCTCTCTCTCTCTCTCTCTCTCTCTCACACACACACACACACACACACACACACACACACACACTCATACATGAATCATCTAGCAGCAAAATAAAATTTAAAAAAATCATACACACACACATAAAATATATAGAACTAGTTCTAAAAAGTCACTAAACAAACTATATCAGAGCAAAGTACAACATCATACCCTGGAAAGATGAAAAAATCTTATTCCCAAAGTTGCTGTTATAATATTAAAACAAATGTCCAGTTTTCGACTAAAGATACTACACATGCAGAAAGCCAAGAAAGTATGGCCATGTGTGTGAACAAAAGAAGCATTCAATCGAAACTGAACCCAAGAAATACCAAATGTTGGACTTACTGAACAAAGATTTTTGTATTAGATAGTTTCCTGTGGTCAAAGAAATCCATGTTTCACGTATTAAAGGAAAGTATGAGAATGTTCTCTCTCCAAACAGCAAATATCAATTGTTATAGAAATTTTTAAGAAGAACCAAAGAGAAACTTTGTATTAAGAAGTACTGTACACCCACATGTGCAGGAAAGAGAGAGAGAAAGCACATCCCAACAAAGCCCAGTTATGTCACAATCCTTCTTCCTTCAATTCCTCA